GATGTTTGGGATTCAGGCTCAAGTCCATCCACGTCAAAGATGCATTGATAAAACAATAATTCTTTTCCTGGTGGACTGCTCACAGTGAAGTATATTTGATAAAACAGGCTGATATTTCAATGTGCAAACAGGGACACACAGGTAGCACAGAAGCATGATCACAGAGACTCATAAAAGAAATCTCTCTCTCTGTAGTCTCCAGCGCAGTTTAGGTGCAGACAAAAAGGGGAGCAGAACAGGGTAAGTTGGCCGAGGTTGGTCTCGTGTGGTCGGCTATCCTCAGCTGAGGGGTTTAATTGGAAATGCATGTCATCACAGTTTGGCTAAAGCAGGTCTAGTGGGAAAACCCCGTAATAAAAGGGGACTTAGCACTATGTCAAATCTGAACATTTCCAAGGCTTTGTGCTTCACTGGTCACAGGTTGTCATCAATCAGCATGAAGCTCTTTAACTACGAAACAAAACAGTGTGTGTTTCGTGTTTTCTAACATCACATCGTGCCAAACATGAAGTCTGAGTCGAGCAGCAGGTGACTGTTGCAATCACTTTATTTATTTATGTCAAACAATAGTATGAAGAAGTCCAGCTATCCAGTATCACAAAATCTTTCCAAATGTTTGTCTCAGTTGGCTTTAGAAAGGCCAAAAACATCAACAGCTCTTTACCCAACCCCAGTTTTTGAGAAAACAAAGGGAAAACCCCTGAAAAAGGGGAATATAGCAGAGGAAACCCTGGATGAGTAAGTTTTGCGCTGTATGAATAGTACAAAGGAGGGTGTGGTGATCAATCAGTCGTCCCACCGACCTGACATACACTCATACCTCTCTTTCCATCCTGAGTTTGCCTTTGATCTTCGCCATCTACGATAGGATGTTTGATTTATGTAATTTCATTATACACTTATTTCATGTGTGGCTTCATTTACCTTCGTTTAGACAGAGAGAGAGAGACAGTCTGCTGTTACCCTTTTGACTGGGTTTCTTATAGCACACATGTAGCCTCTACATTTGCCCTCAATAACACGCAAGTGCTAAAATTATATATATATTTTTCTATATGAGACGTATTTTGATACTGTACATGAAACACATTGAAACTAAAGTGAAAGGTATCAGTTGTGTAATGTTGGTGGTATGATGTCTAAATGACTACCAACAGATCTTTGAACTGTTTAATTCTTTGCTGGTGAATTAGATTCAAGCTGAAACTCTAAATAATCGCCGAGGCTCGAGCCAACTTTGGGGCTACCTGTTAACCGAGGGCGCCAAAATAAAACAAAAAAAGCACAAGATTCACCCACAGGTGAGGTAAGCAATGGGCCTAAAAGCCGCAGTTCAAGTCGCATGTTTCATCAGTGGGAAACCATTCAGGAGGAGGTTCAGAGAGGCATGTGTGAAATGCACACAGCTCCACAAATATGTAGGCATGGAGAGATGATTTTGATAGATAGCACTGGTTGTTTTTTTTTTCACATCTTTTGGATCCATAAATCAGCCAGTCTCACTACACTGTGGGAACAACTATCTGGCGAAGTTTAAAAAAATACCTGAAACGCTAAACGCTGAAACGATAGAACCTCTTCTAGCTTCAGGAGGGGAGTGCTGTACAGCCGACTCTGCTATCTAGCGAGCAGAATTTGCTCGTTCGTTGCACCTTTGGTCGTGTGTAATGTACCCTGTGATCGTCTGGAGTCGGTGATGTTGGGCTGATTAGAGGCAGGTAGCGTTGTTTGAATTGTGTGACACAACCGGTGACAGCGCGGAGAGGTTCTCCCGTCACTGAAGTGAATAATAACAGGTTGTGTCTAAAGTTCATACTGGCCTTGACGATGCTGCCCACACACTTTCCAATGCAAATACAATGGAACGCTGGGACACTGTATTTGCTTTAGCATGTTTACACGTCCCCAAAAAATGTCTATAAAAATTGGTTACGCAACAAATATTATCATTGTGTAATCCTGTAAATTACTCTGTCTTTCAGTAGTAATAGCCATGCATTCCTTACTTCTCTGCATGTTGATGTGTATTCTGTACTCTTCATTTGTTCATATAGACACAACACACCGCTTTCTTACAGTAGCGTCTCATTCGGTTTCAGTGACACTCTCTTATCGAAGGTTATCCACACTTTGAAAGAAGAAACTCGAGCCAGCAGTTAGCGGTGACAGTGTTGCGGCCCGATGTCCATGTGTACTCCCTGAGGGTTTAGTGCAGGAATGAAAAACTATTTTCAAGGCTGTTTGAGCACAAATAAGGCAGTTCAGCATCGCAGAAGCCACAATCTTCCTCTTCATTCATCCCGTAACATCTCAAAAAGCATCTTTCATGTTACATCACGAAAACTACAGAGAAGACCACAGATAGAAGTGATGAAAGTGAAATGGGGAGCAGGCATTTCTCTTCCCTGCAGCACAGCGTGTGTGTGTGTGTGTGTGTGCACGTGTAGATGCTTGTGTTTCCAGGTCTGCCTGTGTTAAAAGGACCGAGGTTTTGTTTTTGAAAGCTCAACAGCGCGATGAAAGATCGTTGCTGTCTTAAAGACCTCCTGCCACTTTGAATGACTTCAAAAGCAGCGTAGATGGTCGATATCGCAGACAGTAGGCTGCTAACTATGAAATGTGTTGGCATGGATCCTCAGTCACATGTGACACAGACAGTAAAGCTGCCTAAAGCAACATTCTTCAAAACTGAATAAATGAATCAGGGCTCCAGAAAACACAAGGCTGCCTCACATTTCCTTTTACCCTAAACCCAACCACAGCGTGGGATGTTTCGTCTCCCTTGTGTGTCTTTAAATTTAGTCACAAGTCGGTCAGTGATTTGGCACCCCTTAGATTGTACGAACCCTTATTTAGGCAAAACGGTGACACTGAAAAACAAACGGTCCTCTCTTTACTGTTGTTCCACTCGTTACCTCATTTTCCTCCATTACAGCCGCTGACAGTGCAGTTCTTTGTATGTGACCTGAATAAAACTTGCAGAAAGCTACACATGATTCCTGATGCAAGAACAATGTACTTTCCCTTTAACATGTCTGTGTCACTGATTACGCTCTTCCAGTAAACACCTAAATAAAGATGCTAATTTGGCTGTAAGGGCTCTGACAAATGAATCAACGCTGCCTACATACGACTGAAACGCTGCAGGATCACATGCACTCGGCTTTTTTTAAACAAGAAAACAGCAACCTCTTGCAGCACGTCTAACCATAAAGCAAGATACGACGGAGCAGAGCCTTGTTGTGATAAATGTTGAGTTAATACCGTCTTTCCTCTGTCAGCCCAGAACTTCCCTGAACATACAGTCAGAATAAGAACCCATATTGATTATGATTTGTCAGGGATGATTAAAACAACACCGGTTTACATGTCAAAACGAGAAATTATGACGCTTGAACCTGGCTTCTAAAATTAATCATCTGCTGGATAAGCATTCATTTAAATCCTGCTACAGCGTCAACTTACAACACACACTTAGCCGCCACTCTGTGAGGTATCACCAGATAAAACTAGTACAGTCTAATACCGCGGGGGTGCATGAAACCCCAACTACTGCAGTGTAAATGAACCGCATTATACTGGAAAGTATTTCTAATATTTAAAGTCTTCCCTCACAGGGATAAATGACACCTGTCAGTGTGAGGCAGTACAATGCAAACATCCTCCGACATTAACATCAAGCTGAATCACCACCTCTCTGAAACAGACCAATGAATGAGCCGGGGCGATCACTCTCACACAAACTTGGTATTGTCAATGTAATAAACAGTACGGCACACAAATGCCGGATATGTTCATTTAGATATTTAGCAATTTCTTTTCCAGATGGATCTAATACATTTATTTTAACCGTAACACGTCTTGCGTTGCACAAATCTTGGTCAATAATTTTTCCCTACTACTGAATTTGTTGGATCCTTGTCAAAAATGGTTGTTGGAATTAATACAGGTAGACACAAGGGCTGCAACAAACCGATCTGAATGTTGATTAACCGTTCATTTAGTTGTTTAGTCTATCACGTAAATGGTAATGGTATCCAAAACGCTTGACAATGTGTTTCTCATTCACCCATTCACACACCAATGGCAACAGAGCTGCCATGCAAGGTGCTGCCTGCCATCGGGAGCAGCTTTGGGTTCTTGCCCAAGGACACTTCAACTGTGGATCGAACCGCCAACCTTGAGATTGGAGGACAACCGGCTCTACCACCTCAAAATGGCTAAAAATATCCCAAAGAGCAACATGATGCCCTCAAATGTCTTGTTTTGTCCACGATCTAAAGATATTCAATGGGGGTACAGATAAGCAAAGAAATCAGTCACATTAAGGACTTCTTTCTCCTCTTTAAATATTCCTCAAAACCCTATTCAGGACTTTCATACGTAGAAGGTCTTTCGGGCTCCATTGGACCCCAAGAAAGACCATGTGCAAAATATTTGTTGGTATTCATTATAGACTTTTATACTATGTGATATGATTATATTTTTGGTTCCAAATGCATGACAAATGTCCTTCTTTTTATATTTAAAAACAAAACAACACCTGTCACCTAAAGCAGATGGCCTGAGGTCCTGAATAGGGTTCATCAGTTATCAAAATAGATGGTGATAGTTGACAACTGATCAGTCAATGGATTATTATTGTTATTGAGTGTCTTTCTCAAAAAAATCTGAGTTTTTAAACAGCATCTCTTATAAAAACTTCTTCAACACAAACTGCAGGAACTGATGGAGCGTCAACATAAAGTGAATGATCACACCTGTAAACGGATCAGCAACACTTTTAACAAGTTAGTGACCACGTTATCTAGTGAATCTCTGCTCTGTGTCTTCTGTTAGTCATGTAAACAACAGCAAAGCACACAGACTAAACAAAACCCGTGTGTGTGGAGCTGGAGCGTGTTTATCAGCTCCAGCAGCTGATGTGGCTTTAACTCTGCTGAGTTCCTGAGCGAACTTTGCTGTTTCTCAACAGCTCAGCCCACATCCTCAACTCTTACCGTTTGTTCTGCTGTGCTGGTGTCGACTGGAGTTTCCTTAAAAAAAAAAAGCAGCAGCAGCACCGATGTGTTGTGGCTCCGTAGTCCGGCGCGGAGTGAACTTGGAGGCGGACTCACGGCGTCAGCTCCCCGCGCTGCGCGTCTAACGGCTCCCGGTGTCTGTCGGCTGGAGCGCCGCTGCGTCGTCACTCGTCCCGTCAGAAAACAGCATTCTGTCGGCGGCGCTCACATCTTTCTCCACACTTCACACCCCACCTCTCAGGGCTGCTTTTTAAGTTCCCCTCGACATGTTTGTTTTTCCTCCAGGCTCGGTAGCTGCGGTCCACTTGTAGTTCGGACGTCCTGCTGCTCTGATGAGGAGGAGGAGGATGAAGGCGGTGCCAGCAAACGGCTGCTTTCTGCCACATTCAGTTTCTTCCGTATCTGACACGGAAACACTTTTTTTTTCTCTCTCTCTCTCTCTCTTCTCTGTCTTGACTCAAGCAGAATCTCCTTGAGTGAATCCTAGAGGCCCCAGAAGAGAGAACAAACTGGCATCCAGGGAGGAAGTGCAACCAGCACGACTAAAAAGTACTTTGACTTCATTTGAATGCTCCTTTCCACCTCTGCTTCACTGCATGTCTTGTGGAAATATTGTATTTTTAACTCAAGCCCCCTCCAAAAAGTTCACCCATGAAGTCCCATAACAATACACCCCAGATAAATAACTGATAGAAAACTTCATCCATACACTAATGATCGCTTCTCCAACTGGATCAACTCATGATAAAAATGTGTTTTCATTTTGCTTTAATAATCAGAGAGGTGGCATTCTTTACGAGTGCAATTTAACATTACGTTTACTTCGTTATTCTAACTCTGTTCAACTGCATTTTATATCAAAATTATGTTTTTTTCTTTTAATCCAATGCAGAGGCGTTGACATAAATGAACACATTCAGCTCCACCCAAGTTTCAGTTTCTAGATTTCAACCAAGTAGTTGCACAACAAAAACGTTCCAGCGATGAGTAACTTTATTTCTGTGCTTACATAATAATAATAAAAACTTTATTCGTACAGCACCTTGAAGAACAGCGCTGACAAGGTGCTTTGACATGAAAATGTGCAACACAGAGACAATCAAGGAAGAATCACACCAAAGAACTGTCCATCCATCATCTATACATCCTTACGAGGGTCGTGGGGGGCTGGAGTCTATCCCAGCTGACTCAGGGTGAAGGCAGGCCCACACTTAGAGACAGACAACCAAGCACACTCACATTCACACCTATGGACAATTTAGAATCACCAATTAACCTCAACATGTTTTTGGACTGTGTGGGAGGAAGCTGGAGAACCCAGAGAGAACCCACGCTGCACGGGGAGAACATGCAAACTCCACGCAGAAAGATCCCGGGTATCCTCACTGGTGACCTTCTTGCTGCGAGGCAACAGGCCAAGAACTGAAAATGTAAATAAAAACAAAAGTGACCATATAAAATAAGCAGGTAGACGGTGCATAAAGACAGAATAAAACGCTAAAAGTAAACTTCACATGAAAGCAAGTCTATAGAAGTGGGTTTTAAGAAGTGATTTAAGAGAGGCCACTGACTCCACTAGCCTTATCTCCTCAGGCAGGTCGTTCCAAAGTCAGGGGGCCCTGGTGGAGAAAGCTTGGTCGCCTTTAGATTTAAGCCTCGACTTCTGAACGACCAAAAGGGATCCTCGTGAAGATCTAAAGCTGCGAGTATTCTCATGAAGCAGTCAACAGATCATAACTGTGGTTGTACATAAATGTCTCAGGGAGTGCAGGTTTAATGGTGATGATTTACGCAGTTTGAATTATACTTAACCTTTTATGTCTATTTTTCTGGTATAATTTTTTTTGGAGACATTTTCTTATCATAAAGTAGTCATATTGTTGTTTTGCCACTTTCACTCATGAGAATAATCTCATGATTTCCTCCAGTGCCAGATACACATTTCCTGACAAAGGCACACTATTTATGTGTCACAATGAAATCATGTCAGGTTCCTTGAAATCCTGAGGAAGTCCTGACCAACTTACAAAAAACAAAACTGAAACACAATTACGCTGAAAGGTGGGGCAACATTTACGTGAAAACAGGAGAGCTAAGATTAAGATTCTTCTGGATCTGTCGAGTTTATCATTTGCTTTATATTCGATAATTTGTAATGTTTATAAGGCCGCTGCAAGACCTACATCTATTAGCTGAACTTCACTAGATATACAGGTCACCAGTTCATCACAGGGAAAAGAGACAGACAACCGTGCACACTGACAACTACAGAATCACCAGATAACCGACCATGCATGTTTCTGGACTGTGTGAGGAAGCTGAAACCCCACATGAGCGCAGGGAAACCACGCAAACTCCACACACACAGGCCAACTAGCAGGTTTGAACCATCTGGCTGTGAGGCAACAGTGCAAAACCTGCCCCAAAACCCTTATTATTGTCAGAACTGACAACAACTTACCCCCATTGCTCTGTTTTCTTTCTATTATTATGTGCATGTATCATAATATAGTCAAACCGACAAGAACGCAGCGAGAACTTGTTTCCTTTTTTATCTTGCAACTGAGAATAGATCTTATCTTCGTGGTGTGTTGACAGTAAAGTGACACCAGAAAGACAGAGTTCAGTGGAGGAATAAGACGCCTCCAGGCCTTGTTCTCTAAAGAATATGGGTTAATAAATAAACGTGCGGCATCGTTGGCAGGTCAAACAATGTTTTTGCCGACAGTTCAACAGTTACCGAAAAAGCAGCTTGCAAGAGTAACGGCATGGATAGCTGTGGCTGAGAAGGTAGAGGAGGTCGCTGACTGGCAGCTGAATTCAAAGTGTTCATGCACTACTCACAAAAAGTTAGGGATATTCCACTTTGAAAATTCAGGATGAACCTAAAATGCACTAGAACCTTTACAGTGACCTTCTCTAAGCTTTTGAATGCACACGTTCAACAGTTCAATGTTTCAGTACTTTCTGTACAACTTGCTCTTCTCAGGTGTTTGATCCATGAATCGACCAACACATTTCCTTCTTCAATCAGAACTGGAATTTAAACAGTCCTCCCCATCGTGCCGTTCACATTTTGACATCACGAGACCAAGACAACTCCTAGCAACTGATCAACACTAGCTCGCCATTGCGAGGCTTCAAACAGGAAGTTCTCAGACGGAAGTTGCCTCTGAGCTGAGAGTGTCACAGAGCGTCGTCAGCAAGTAGCAACAGAGATGCAAAGAGACTGGAAGAGTCACATAACGGCATAGAAGTGGATGTCCTCTGACCACGTCCCACACCGATGGCTGCTTCATTGTGAACAGCGCCCTGCAGAACCGGATGATGAATGCCACTCGACTCCAGGCACATTTAAGGGAGGTGAGAGGCACCAAAGTGTCACGTCAGACTATTTGAAGCTGTTTACATCAGCGTGGTCTGCAAGGGTGCCTGAACACACCACCAGGCACAGGCGTCATCGTCTTGCATGGGCCAGCGTGGGACCAGTGGGCCTCAGTGCTGTTCTCTGATGAAAGTTGATTCATGATGAGCAGAAATGATGGCCGCCAACGACGTCGAGGAGAGCGCTATGCCTCAGCCACCGCTGTCACCAGACGAGCCTTTGGTGGTGTTGGTGTTACAGTGTGGACAGGTGTGTCTAGTCTATTCAGACCTGCCCTACACTTTGTGACAGTGACAAGTCTGTACTACCTGAACAACATTGATCCAGTCATTGTGCCCCTGCATGAACAACACAGGCCTAATTTCATCTTCATGGACGAAAATGCTCCAGCTCATCGAGGTCACATCAGTAGGGAACGACTGCTGGAGATACCTCAGATGGAGTGGCCTTCACTTTCTCCAGACCTGAATCCCATAGAAAACCTATGGAACCAACTGAGTCGCTGTGTAGAGGTTCACAACTCTGTACTCCAGAACCTCAACGATCTGAGGGCCGCCCTTCAAGAAGAGTGGGACGCTATGCCTCAGCAGACAATAAGTCGACTTGTGAACAGCATGAGATGTCGTTGTCAAGCTGTAATCGATGCTCAAGGGCACATGGCAAGTTATTGAGACGCTGGCATTTTTTGTTGTGTTATACCCACCACTGTTGTTGGCTTTTGTTTCAATAAATTGGTTGAGATGAGGAAATCACCATTGTATGCTTCTGCTTAAATGCTCTACTTTCATGATGTAGTACCACCATAGCTTGAACTTTTTAAAATTTTCCATAAATTTCACCTGAAAGCCAAATATCCCTAAGTTTTTGTGGGTAGCGCATGTTGAAGTGTGCTTGGACAGAAACACAACAGGTGACGGTCAGATCAGAACAACTCGCTGCCATCAGTGTCTCTGAATGAATGAATGAATGAATGAATGAATGAGAAGCAACTTGTAAAGCACTTTGGATAAAGACACTATATACTTACTGCAGTCTATTCACCTTATGAAGGAAGCATGCACTCTGCAACAACTCCCCCAAGATGATTATTTCTGACTGATGTTAGCAATACAAATGCTTCCAAAGAGTGCTTTAATAGTCTATTTAAATCGGACGAATGAGTAATTTATTAAAATATAAGCCACAAAATGACATCATGTTTTCAAAGAAGACAAATCAGAAGATCACAAGATCCTGTGAGATTTCCTACAATATTTATACAAAGACATTAGAGTCACATTTGACTGAAAATGATACCAGAAGAGACCTCAGAAGTCCAACCAGCTACCAAAGAATTGCACTAAATTAAATTAACGTGTGTGTGAAGGTATTATTTTTGGGACTGCTCGCCAGGATAACTGGAAATTTGGATCCCAAACTCTCCCCTGGAGATGGGATTTACTGCAAAGAAAAGATCTGGCAAAACATAAAGAAATAAATAATCTTGTCACACCTCCCTTTTTCATTTTTTGTTTAAACCCTATTCACAAAATGAGATTTAGAGATCTACCTTACTTCACAGTTAACTAAGAGCACAGGCTGCAATCTGATGAACGGCTGAAAACTGATAATATTGCAGATAACTTAAAGAGTCATTTTTTTTGGCAGGATGAGAATTGCAGTTACCAAAAACCAGCCAGACGTCCTGCCAACAGGCTGCTTTTGGCTCAAGTCACTTTTTTCCTATCATCTGTGAAAACACTAGAGAAGAACAAATCTGACTTCTCAGAAGTACTGGCAGAAACTAAGACCAGGATGGTAGCTCGATGTTGTAATGTTTCCACACCTCAGAGCTCATTCACCTACCGATGATCCTCACATGCTTTTGGCATACGTGAAAACACAACACAGCAGCTGTTTTTCTTTATGGTGTTAATGTGGATCAACAGCTTTAATCTAATTTGCACCATCACAGCAGTTGCACGCAGAACTCTCTGTTGAAAGCAGTGGAGTACAGTTCACTGTTAACCACAGTTTTAAGACATTTCAAGCTAAAGATGCGGCTTTGCTGCGCTGACTGAAATTCACATGAAATACTGAGAAACAAAGGGCTTCCAGAAGAACCCTCAGGCAAACACAGCTTCTATATACGTCTCTGTGTTAGGACTGTGTCTGCTCCATTTTCGTTTTTAGCTTCCAAGCCTGTACTTCAAAAGCTTCTTAGACAATATAAAGCCATTTTGTAAAATGTAACATAACGCGCTTCTACACCACAAATGTTTATGATGCTTTTCTACCTTAATGTGCATAATATTTCCTCCATTATTTAAATTCACACAAATAAATGGACATTTGATCATTATGAGCACATCAAATAGAGCTACTTTTCATTTACAGATCCCTCATGTGTCAGTAAATAATCTCTCCACGTGCACACTGTGAGGAAGCTGCTGTAGATTGAACATTAGCACCACCATGCGGTCTGTTTCTAGAAGTGCATCCGTTTTTGCGGCTCGATTCGAAATAATTATAATAACATTTCCCGCCTTTCTAAAAAACTTATCCGTGCAATATTGCCCCCATGCCTGCTTGCTGCTCATTACACAGCTTATAACTTAAGGCACTGAATGGGTTAATTGGTCCATGCGCTCCTGCGTAAAATACGCACACAAACTCATGATCAGCAGAAAGCCGGTGCAGGTCAGGACTGCCGTCGCTTCACCGCTAAAAGATGCTTCCCATCCTCCTGCAAGTGTAGGCCATTAACGTTTTTCATTTCCTTGTCAATAACGGTGGTTAAACCAGCAGGGATCAGAGGAACAGAGACCACACACTGTTCCGTCAAAGTTAACTGAGGTTTTTCCAGCCAAGAAAAAGCAGCTTTTTCTCACCCACTGGATCCATTATGACGGGATGAGCCTGCAGAACAAGGTGGGGCTGGATCATCGTGTCCATGTGCGCTCTATTGCCAGGACTTTAGCGAATGTGCTACATATATTTAATAATTAAATTTAAGACATTAAACGCCCCATTAGAGGTTAAAGAAGTGCTTAAATAGAAGCACCAATAACACAGTGTAGAGTCAGTGCATTTAAATGTAAATAGTTCAAACGTGTTTGCATCAAAATGTACTTTGTGTACCAAAAGTTAAAGTACTCATTATGCAGATTGTCTTATATCAAAAAAATATATATTATAGCTTTTAGGATGATAGCAATCAATGCTTTATTTTGTTCATCACTTTAATGTTGCAGAATATACAAAATATTTGATTTAAGTACTTTCTGTAGTTTATCTGCAGGGTAGATTGTGAGTTTCTGTTCAGGAATTTTAATCTGTATTAATACATCATATTTTATTAGTTGATTGTGTTTTGTATAATTAAACTTAACCTGCAACTTAACTAGAATCTTGAATTTTCGAATAAATGTGGTGGAGTTAAAGTAGGCCTCTGAACGGTAGTAAAGCAGGAGAAAATGTACTCAAATGGACAGAAAATCAAAGTACGGTGCAGTTGTGTAAATGTACCAGAGGAGTCAAAGCTTTTATTGTGAAAATACTATATGTACAATTCCCTGCCTTCACCCTGAGTCAGCTGGGATAGACTCCAGCCCCCCACAACCCTAGTGAGGATTAAGCGGTGTATAGATGATGGATGGATGGATAAATGTGCAATTTACTGTTGAATTAGATGCACAGAACCAGTGATGTATTCCTAAAGCTAATCCACGCAGCTCACAACACGTCTACATTCACATGATGACAAAACTGAGCTCTGTCTGTTCTTTTCAATCCAAACAGGCCATCATGACGAGCTCCTCTGAAACCCTCCAGTTCACGTTGCCCACACATGGGGACTCCATGCTCAGCAATATGAACATTCTGAGAGAAGAGGGTCGCTTCTGTGATATCACGCTCGTTCTCGGGGATGCGCAGGGCTCCACCGCCGAGCCTTTCCTTTTCCACGGTCACAGAGTGGTTCTAGCAGCATCCTCGGATTTCCTGCGTGACCAGTTCCTGCTCCACGAAGGCCGGGCGGAGCTGAGCGTGGCTGTAGTTTCCAGCGTGGAGGTTGCTGAGACTCTGCTCCTGTCCTGCTACACCGGGCTGCTGGAGGTGGGACATGAACATTTACTGCTTCTCCAACCACAGGGCAGAATATAGACATACACCTACATTTACCTCAGTTATAAACTCTTTTATAGCAGGTTTCTTTTTGTTGTTGTACTGCAGAATCAAGATGAATTTACTGCCAAACAGTGTGTCTGAATGACAGGTTAGAAGAACTTTATGGGGAGTTATTACCCTGTACTTCAGCAGAAATAAGGAACAAACAACATGTTTAAACCATGAAGGAGTGGGTGGTGTGATATGAAAGTGATATGAAAAGCTGTAAATGTCTGAAACAACTTTACTTGCACTTCTGCTTTTGCATCCATGTTTAAAGTGTGCTACTAGAAGTTTGGTTTGAATCGTATCGAGTCTTTTTCATTATTATTCATTCGTTATTTCCATTGGTTTATCAATTTCTACTGTACAGGTCCCTCTGAGAGAGCTGGTGAGCTACCTAACTGCAGCCAGTGCTCTCCAGATGGGCCAGGTGGTGGAGAAGTGTTCCCAGGCCATTTCCCAGTTCCTCAGTCCCACCCTGGCTTTCTTGAAACTTGGGAGACACTCAGAGAAGAAGGAAAGGCAGTTAGAAGGCAGCTGGCTGGGCACCAGCTTTGAAAATCAGAAGGAAGAGGATGCAGCCCAGCCCAGTACCAGCATCCAGGAAGCAAATATCAAGGAAAGGGGAGCGGCCGTGATTCAGTCCAAGTTGAGGGTCAGCCAAGAAGCCGAGGTGGATAGTCAAGGACTGAGGGAGATTAGAGAAGATTGGGAGGCTGTGAAAGCTGAAAGAGAGGAATCTGAGGATGCAGCATGTTGTCTTGACAACCTGGAGTTGGAAGAAGTTGGAGAGATTCAGCTTTTTCACACAAACAACCAGCGATGTCACGTTCACCACATTGAAGGTCCTCTCAAGTGTAGGCTGCACCACCCCGCAAGTTTCCAAGACATAATTTCCTCCCCAGCCTCCACAATTGGAAGAAGCTCTGCAGCCAATGAAGAACTGATGGAAAGCACCCAGAACCAACACGAACCAGAACTAGAGGAGCCAAGGGAGGAGGAAAACACGCCCACGGCGGCAGCTCAGCGTGAAAAGGTGGCAGCAGGCAGCATGCTGGTCCAGAGGCCGTACCTGTGCAGGAGGTGTGACAAAGTCTTCCAGCACCTGGAGAGCTACGTGGGCCACCTGAAGGAGCACCGGCAGTACTCCTGTTTGGTCTGTGAGAAAGGCTTTTCTCAGAAGAGTAACCTGACTCGCCACATACGCGTCCACGCTGGTGCCAAGCCTTTCAGGTGCCCGCTGTGCCACAAGACGTTCACCCAGAAGGCCATGCTGCAAGATCACCTGGACCTGCACACGGGGGACAGGCCCCATAAGTGCAACTACACCGCTGTGCACTTTGCCCACAAGGCAGGCCTCAGGTGCCACCTGAGGGAAGGTCACGGCAAGAGGAGCCTGCAGAACGTGCTCGAGGAGGCTGTGGACTGCCAGTGAGGTGGCCGGCTTAGTGTTAATCTAATGATGGTGTTCATAGTTGATTGTTTCTGTATCTTTTTTTTTTTTGGGGGGGGATAGGGGTAAGATGCTTTCTGGCACCTGTCAAATAAGATTAAAGCAGATGCTGCAACAACAGCTTCTTCCAGATTTAGAATTGTGTTCTAGCATTTGATCTATGTCGATGCACAAAGTACTCATTTTATTGCCATTTATAAAAGTGAACACAGTCTCACAAAAGAGATGAACGGTGCTTCAGCAGATCTGGCAGAGCTTTAGCAATTATGACACGTACAGAAAAGCAAAAATGTACTAAACAACAGAAGGTTATTCTGATTTACTAAGAAATGAAACCGTGTGTAACGGTGTATGAGCCGAAATGGAAACTGTGTTCTGACGTTGCTGTAATGACTGAAAAGCAGAAATAAAAATCCCCCGTTGTTCTAAAAGACAATTTCTCGTGAAAGAAACAGTGATTTACTGCACAGCACACACACAGAGAGGCTTCACCATTTGACCCCGGCTGAAATTGTGTGCAGCTCGCTGAGCATGACTCTCTGAGCGAGTGGGTTTTCCCGCATGGCTGAGAGGGTTTCCATGCTCTCTCACTCCAGTCCTTCCTTTCACATGTCTCCTTTTATCCTTCAGTTATCCTTTCGGCCCAGAAATGTCATCGCCACTCCTCTTGCTGAATGGAAGACTAGCCAGTGGGCATCTGAGACACCACTGGCGCTGTGTGGAGACAAACAATAAATGCATGGCGGGGTATGTATTCAGCGCAGCAGTTCATGTGAATGTGTGTTTATTTGTGCGTAATACACAGAGATGTAGTCACAGATATATATAATGAAGCACTGGGTTGTGTATCCATCTGCTTCCATTTGCATAAAAATAGTTTCTACCTCAGTACATTTTGCACACTGATGTTGTGGTCAAGCAACTTTCTTATCAGTGAACGTAATCCTTTCTTTATGTGCAATCAACTGTCGAAGGACTTAGCAGACTCGGTTTAATCGTGCGATTGCTCCACTGATGTGAGATCCTCTAAAAAAATTCCCTTCAGCAGCGTACAGCTTTGCCGAAGTAGGTCAAAATACATACGTGTGCATGAGCGCACAGTTGCAGACGTAAACACCTACAAAAAAAAAAAAAATCAGTAAAAACATGGCTTTTGGAGCACTTCCATTATGAATGAGACACAGAGAGGAGTACAGTATGCAGACGATGAAGGCGAGAAGGAAAACGGGGGAGTACTGCCAGATAAAGAGATGAAAAACAAAAGTATTTTTATCGGTCTTATGATGGTTTAAACCGTTTGTTAAGTGCAGTATATGTTCATGTGTGTGACCATGACTGTGCCAAGGAGTCCATATACACTGATGGTAGATGGTTGTCACACACCCACATAGACGTTTGTCATCTTCGTTTAACATTTGCTAGTTAACAATATATATTTGAGACTGGTGATATCATTAGTGTTGCTGGTACCTACATTTTAAAACTTTTAACAAGAGCTCATCCTCTGGGTATCACTTGGATTTCTGTGCCAGATTCTAAGGCATCACATCTGACAGCTTCCTATACATTTCACAAAAAAAACCCACAAATGTAAACCGTATGCAGACACGAAAAGACAAGATAAAGGATCATCAAAAACAGAGCTGGGCTCATCCTCTGGAGATCATAAATGTTTTTCTTTGAAGATTCGTGGTAATGTTGTTGAGATACAGACAGACGGCAAATTAAAGGAAAAACCAACATAAAGAGTTTTAAGCGAGGTGCCAGAACTACTTCAATGCACCTTGGCATTGATTCTCCATGAATTCTACTTGAGCGATGAATTCTTCCAAATGATGTTCCCCTGTTTGGTGTTTAGATGATGACGGTGGAGAGTTCTGTCCAAAATCTTCAATAGGTGTTTGTGTACGTGGAGATTTGGTGACTGCAGAAGTCAGCGCATATGATTACAAATGCTTTCGCTCATCAAAATATTCAGTGACCCCTGGTGCCCTGTGGATCAGGACGTTGTTATTCTGAAAGGATCAGGATAGAAATATGTCATCGTGGGATTAAGATGATCTCTCAGAACAACTTTTTATTGATTTGTGGCGATCCTTCCCTCTTAGGAGACGAGAGGACTCAAGGCAACAAAAAAAAGCTCTCTGCAGCACATCAGACTTCTTCACTGGAGGGGTCAAAAGTTCAGATTTCTCCTTTAATTTGTCAGACTTCTGTATTTCAGTCAGACCCAGCCCTTGAGCCATGTTGCTTGCACTGTTATATATATATATTGTAAAGCAGAACTAGTTTAGAATGTGTTGTTGTGGTATGTGAAGCGTATGACCTACTGCAACAACTGGAAATCACATTTTAAGTCAATATTTGATTGGCTTTGCTGTCCTACAACAAACTGAAATGCATCCCTCTTGAAATGCGCGTTGCTCAGCGATGCCATTTATGTTTTTTTTTTATGCTCGGAAGGTTCGATATAAAACGAGTTTTGAATGAGCAAACACTTTAACTGCTCACTGCTGTCAAGTTGTTCCACTAGTTATTTCCACATCATTTTAATATAACAAAAGCAGCACACAGGAGGGTGGAGGGTGGTCAGGTAACACGTAGACAAAAAGAGACGTGAGGGAGAGAAACACTAATCGCTTTCATTGTACTTTTTGGTGCAGTGATGGTCAAGCACCAGTTTATCACAGACTCTTAAAAGGTTGTCTCATCGGTGGCCATTTGTTCGTTATGCAAACGAGGGCTTTATGTGAAAATGGCAGCCTAGGAGTAAAAAGATAAGGGTTTTAGGATTGTCATTTTTCAGTGAGCTAATACTCAGAAGTGCTCTGCTCAAAAGGAAAGTTATTAAAGCGTGGCTCTCTGCGCTGTCGAACTGTCTAATGCATCCACGTGTTCATTAACAGGCTGATATGAAGGTCAGTTTTCTCAAAAAGTGCAGCACTAATGTACCATGTTAGTCCCATTATGATCCAAATTAAACCCGAGGTGTTCGGTGCTGTTTCGCACTTTTACTTTGCTGCGTGCACAAAAAGCTTGAAAAAGATCTTTGCTTTTCACAGGTGGGTTGCAGCAACAACTTTTTATGACTAACATCTGTAATTCTACAAGATGTCCATCATTTAACTAAAGAAATCTGCAAAAAATTAGAGAATCAACACTTGTTTTTCTGGTTTTCTTGGCTAATTTTATCTAGTTTTAAAAATATTTAAAATGTAAAACTTTAATCCATCTGTTAAATAAAATGGAAATGTTCCAATAAATCTGTGAATGTCTTTTATATCGTTTTTAAAATTCTGACATTTTATGATTAATCACAGTCTCCTGTTTTTATTGTTATTTTGCATTAAGCATCTATTTTTGTAATTTTATTTTATTTTTTTTTTTTGTATTTTAAACAATACAGAAAAATCTGTAAATAAACAGTCTGTAAAATCTTTTTTTTAAACAGTGTAGATCAAAAACAAAACTAGGGCACCTAATCCTACAGCTTCTATGTGTAATAAGATTTGTTTTGCATATTTACAGCACAGATTTAGCTCTCCAGTATGAATCAGGTGGTAAATGTGAATCATATTATGTCCTCATAATGAGTAGGCTCACTTCTCCTCTGTTATAAGCAGCAGCTCACTGAGGAAATCAAGTCTGAATTATCACTACAGTACAACAAATATAATCACCGGCGGTACGGCCTGTGTGGCCGACGAGCGCGTAAAACACCAGTGAGATGCAACGCTAAGTCAATTATAAAGCACAAGGTAAAGCTATATCCAAGTAAGGGGATTACAGCCTTGATAAGTTAGTCACTGCCATCCACTTAGTCCAGCATGCTCTCTCTCAAGTGAGTGCTATTTACAGCAATAGATATAAAACACCTGGATCATACTGGAGACAAAAGGCACCCGAAAATGTAAAAGATTCTGGCTGTTAAAAGACTACATTAAAAGACTGGCCGCAGTAGAATCAGAGTTTGCAGTAGCTCATTGTTTCTAAATTATGTGCCAATAATCAAACAGTTTAAAAGAAAAAAATGTGTTTGTGGAGCAGCATCAACATTTGAAAATAAAGTTAAACTTACAACAAGTTTGTATTAATCAAGGTTTTACATTTATATTTACAGTAACAGGTCATCTGGACATACGACAAAGCCCACTGGGTCAAAAATACACATACAGCAACTTGAAGCCTTTTCAAAGTAGCTACAGATCCCAAAACCATCCATGCAAACAGTTACTGGTCAATACAAAGTGGTACAGTTGTGTCGCTGCCACAATCAGGAAGAAAACACAAACTATCCCCTTTTGCTGAGAGACAGTTGGTCAAGATGGTCAAGAGTCAACCAAGAATCGCCGAAAAGCGGGTTTGCAATGAATTAGAAGCTGCTGGAACACAGATTTCATTATCCAGAGTGAACTTTGTTTTACATCGTTATGGGCTGAGAGAAAGCTCTTCCTCTAGAAGCAGCACCGTAAAGCTTGACTGAAGTTTGCTGCTAAACACATGAACGAAGAAAAGGCCTTCTGGAGGAAGGTCCTGTGGTCTGATGAGACACAAATTTAGCTGTTTGGCCACAATGACTTGCATGATGTTCAAAGGAAAGATGGTGAGGCCTTTGACCTACTGTCAAGCATGGCGGTGGCAGTATTATGCTCTGGGGCTGTTTTGCTGCCAGTTGAACGATTGCTTTACTCAAAGTAAACGGAATAATGAGGGAGGATTACCTTCATATTATTCAGGAAAACTAGATAATGACTCAAAGAACGCAACAAAAGTGGGAAAGGTTTTAAGAGTGGCTTTCCCAAAGTCCTGACCTAAACCTCACTGTGACGAAAAAACAAGTCTGGGTCAGAAAACCAAAAAAATGTGCATCAATTCTATCAAGAAGAGTGGTCAGAAACACAACCAGATGCTTGCTGACGGCTACAAAAAGCATCCAGTTTATATGAAAAAGGCTGAAGGACAATTCACCGAACCTCATCATTGCTGTATGTATATTTTTGACCCAGCAGGTTCGGTCATATCTCCAGAAAACCTCATATAAATCAACAAAAGAACCAAAAGGCATGAATGGGTTTTGTGACTCGTGTGCATGTGATCAGGTTGTGTAAGTGTGACACCGAACACGACCATAAAGGCATTCTGAGGTCAGTCGTGCTTCTTGTTCCGCTGCTGCACTTCTCTGCAAAACAAACGAGCGGGAACTGCGTGCGTTCGTGTGAACTTCCCCCTCGTCAGACGCACTTGCCGAAGCGCATCCTCCGCTGCCTCTCCTCTCTCTGGTCTGTTCCTTTAAAAGCCAGACAGCCCACGCCTCGAAAAGCGGCTTGTTCCGGCTTGCCCCTTTACATCTTTTTATCCTTGCTCACAACATTAAACTAGTGCCCACCGAACGACGATTACGCACCGGCGCTTCTGCCCAACCGTCGGAGCGCTTCATCGGGCGGACATGAACGATGCGTAGCCCCGCAGCAGCAGCACATCTCCGGCCGAGCAGCTCCGTGGCGAGGCGCAGTTCGGGCACCATCACCGGCGGAGCGATACCACCATCTCCTCTCTGCCTCGGTTCGCCCATCGGAGGGTGTGTGGCTCACTGTACCTGAGAGGGAGAGAGAGAGAGAGACAGAGTCCGTCGCCTGCTGTCGGTAAAGAGGGGCAGAGGATCAAAACTGGACCAATGCACCTGCCTCTAACGCTCTCAAATGCAGTGCGCATCAGCAATCATCCATCTGCTGCGCTTGTTTTGCAACTGATGGTTGTTTTCCCTCCTGCTATTCTGATGCGTTCATGAGGATGTCTATGAATATGTTTATTCTGGGGCTCTGGTGTTGTGCGTGAGGTAAGTGACTTATCCAGAGGTGCGCGCTACTTTCTCCTGCTGCTCACATTCACATTATTTTTGCTTTTTGCGTGCAATGAATTGTACATTTTCTCCTGTTTTTTAAATTAGAAATCACACAGCAGGTACAGAAATTACATCATTAGAACCATTTCATCACCAGTTTCTGCAACTGGTGCTGATGGGTTATTATAAACAGGCAGGACAGGCTGTGCTTTGCAAACCACTGTTTTTTTTTTTTTTTAAAGAGTTCTCAGTAAAGCATTATGAAACTGTGGATGTGCTGCTGTCATGGTGGAGGCTGTGTAAATGTTTTTGCTTGCCAAGCGTGGCGATTGGAAATTTATGTAGTAACATGCTGTCAAAGTGACTCCTGAGCCGGAGCAGAGCGGCGTCCCAAGTTCTGCTGCGTGTTATTTACTGTAACCTTAAGTCTGAAATCCAGCACTGTCATCATAAAGTTTAAGCATGCAGCAGGCTGCCATGTTGGACGGTTACTATATAACCTGCTGATGTGCAACTGCAGGCAACCTGATATCCTAACATTATTATCCCAGGGTGCAACAAACTGATGGTTCACTAAGATTGCGTAACTCTCGGTCGCTCCTGTTACTGCAGACGCTAATAAAGTAGGCCTGTGTGAACCAGCAGCCTGCGAGCTGCATGATTCCCATCCAGACACTACCCCCACACACTGTGATGACAGGCATAATGAATAAATAATCACATAAACCCACATACCCCCACTGTACACTCAAAACACAAGTGGTGAAACAACTGTAGTAAACCTCGCTGGGCAACTGCTTGATGCCGCAATTCGACAACAAAACATAAAATGATCTTTAATGGCAGCATGTTGTGTGATTTGTCATTGCAAGACTCCCAAGTGCATTTATGTTTTGTTTCTGCACGCTGGCTTCTGAGTGCCCGTTCAAGCAATTAACAGTCATCTCCCCGCGTTAACGTTTAACTTTCTCTTCATCCTTTAACCACTTGTTCACAGGCATTGTTTCCACTTTACCGCTTCCTAGTCTACTGAGACGGGAGGTTTTTGTTCATGTAAATATAATCTGAGTCATGCTTTATAGGACCAGGAGTGAAGTTTTCCGCTCAGAAAGTCAACCTCCGCTCTCGCCGTGGTTTACTGTAAATTTAGCAATTTGCCAAATTTTAATCTTAAAAGTATGCCAGGGTTTTTGTTGTTGTCAGCAGTGGGTGGGTGGGTGTGGAGTTTCAGTCTTGTTGTGCTTCACCCGCTACGTTGTTCCCAGGAGGCTTAGCTGATGGCTCTGCGAATGAGTTTGAGATCACATTCTGGCTGTAGATGAGGACATGCAAGACATGTATGTGGGGAATAGTTTAAAAGGCCTTTAGCACATTTACAAAAGCGATGAAAGACACGAGGAAATATTTAAACTTCTTTTAAATGCAAAAACAGGCTTATTAAGACGGCATGCATGTGTTGCATGTGATTCTCCAAATGAATAAATTTGATTGGTACAAGTGGAGTGTTTCTGAAACAACTTGGATTTACTGATCTGCTAACATCCCCATGCATATTGTTGCACACACACACACACACACACACACACACATTACACAGTATGTTCTAATTCTGGGGTCACACTGACAGTGAGAGGGGGCCGCTCGTCCTCAAATTACTTTACATTCCTCTGCTTCAGGTTCAGCTCTGTGGCGGCGCATGTGTGAAGTGTGCATGTCTGTGGATCCTTTTATTATCTCGCCTTATGTGCACCTTTGTAGCTGCATGTGTCACAGGAAGGTTTTTGAGGGCGACGTGTTAGTGTTTTTTTACGTGATGCAGGGCTTCATCACCCACACTGAGACCCCTCACTGCTTCTACTGGTTGGTGTCAGTGTAGAAACTTGCTAAACATCTTTATTTTTCTGTCTTTATTTAATATTTAAGATCAGGAGTTGATGAGTATGTTTGTTTTGTGGCTGATACTGATTATTAGTGATCAAGGAGGCCAACAACTAATATCTGAAACCAGTATACTGTAAAAATGGAAATATTGGGGCCAAAATTTAGAATAACACAAACTCCAAGACAAAACATCATTGACGTTACTTTGTTTATTTGTGTTTTACGTAAGTTTGATTAAGGACTGCAAGGTGGTGTAATTGGTAGCACTGTCACCTCGCAGCTAGAAGGTCGCCGGTTCACGGTGAGGACACCCGGGATCTTTCTGCGTGGAGTCTCCATGTTCTCCCCGTGCAGTGTGGGTTCTCTCCGGGTTCTCCAGCTTCCTCCCACAGTCCAGAAACATGCTGAGGTTAATTGGTGATTCTAAATTGTCCGTAGGTGTGAATGTGAGTGTGCTTGGTTGTCTGTCTCTAAGTGTAGCCCTGTGATAGACTGGTTACCTGTCCAGGTGAACCTGCCTTCACCCTGAGTCAGCTGGGATAGACTCCAGCCCCCCACGACCCTAGTGAGGATTAAGCGGTGTATAGATGATGGATGGATAAGTTTGATTAAATGAGAACTTTTGCTCTTTTACTCTTGATGTGTAACCAATCAGACAGTGATGTGGGCGGGACGTTGCTCAAGACCACAGAGTGACTACAGCTAGAGACGGGCAGCTGCATCAGAGCCAAAGTATCACATCTTAAAATTAATCGGTTACAAACAACTTTGTATGAAGCACCAGTTCAACTGGCACCAAAACAGCCACAGAGCATAATAATACCACCGCCGTGCCTGACGCTAAGTTTGGTGTTCTTGGGGGTTAGAGGCCCAACCGTCTCTCCTCCAAAAATATTTCTGGTCATTGTGGCCAAAAAGTTCATTTTCTGTTTCATCTGACCGCAGAGCTTTTCTTCAGAAGGCCTTTTCTTTGTGCATGTGTTCAGCAGCAGACTCCGGCCGAGACTTTAGGTGCTGCTTCTGGAGGAAGAGGTTCCTTCTTGCCCTGCGGCCTCTCAGCTCACGGTGACGTAAAACACTGTGGACACTGTCAGCTGTGTTCCAGCAGCTTCTAATTTATTGCAAACCTGCTTTACTGTTGACGCTTGCTCAGAGACCAACTGTCTCTCAGCAGCAGGTGATGGCTCGTGTTGTCTTCCTGATTACAACTGTGCTGTACTGACAAGTCATTTTAGGAAACTCAATGCTACCTTGATATACATGGTCTTTACAAGTGTATGAAAACTTTAGTTCAGGACTGTATGTATGTTGGTTGATCACTCGTCAAGACTGAAAGCATTCAGTAAGAAATAAATGATCACATGCAACAAAATCCGTCGTGTCAGAATTGGCTCGGGGTTGACGCCGTTTGTGTGCATCTTGGACAACAACGAAACAAAGAGGCCCCGAACCGAAGGCTGTCAGAGCAAATTTATGATGACAGTTTATCAAACACTGCTTCGTCAGTGTCCTCCAGTTTTATAGAAACCATGTGCTGCTGTTTGACTTGAAATTGGCTTAAAGCTGGTGTGGGCAGGAGTTTTTTAAAAATGTTTTTTGGCATCACTGGGCGGAAATTCTAAACTAACCCTTTGGCGTGTTGTAAACTAGACTTCTGCACCTCCTCGGGCTTTAGAAAACGGGAGATTTTAGCCAATCACAGGGCTTTACACTGATCAAATGAGATAAACAGCATCAACGTTGAGAACAGGATGTGGTGGCCCGCTGCACCACCGTGAGGACTTTCACTAGGGAGTGTCGGGTGAGAATCCTGGGTGAAGCCGCAATGTTGGAGGAAGTTACAACGAAGAGAGCGAAGAGCTGGTGTTTGTTCCCAGCCTTTTTTATTTCCCCCAGATTTTTGCATACTACAACTTTAAAATGCAGCCATTCTGCCTCCGCATACCACACAGCCAAAGGTCATCTTCTTTGTTCACACGGTAGCACTGCTGTCCCTGATGTTTCCCGCTTCAGATAGAGAAGTTCAGCCGAGGTAACTGTGTCGCCTCACTCCACTGGGTCAACACTGATCCTGGAGCTGGAGTTGCAAAGTTGAAATATCCTGACGCAACACAATCAGAAGCTACTGGCTGCGAGGACAGCCAAACACATGCGCCGGGAGTGAGGACCCCATGACAAACCTTAGGCCGAACCGTGTCGTGGGTGGGTGCTGCTTTGATCAGAGTCTGCCTAAAATGTCGCTTCCTTCCGCTCTCCCTTTTCTTTTGGTGCCGCTGTTTTCAGAGTCCCTGGAAACCACTATGACAAGAACACAAAGCTAACAAGCTACACGCTGAAAAGGGCCGCGAAAAACTTGGATCGTGCTCAAAAGATGCTCTTTTTTTAAAAGAAATATGCCCTCCCCCCCCTTTGGCATGCAGCGGAGGCTCGATACACAACACGGCTTTGCGTTTTGTTTTTCAGCTGCAGCATTTGATCTGATTTTAGTCGACCTGACCTTTTCTTCTCACAGCTCGAACACGGTGAGAAGATCTGTCAGTGTGGGAACCCACCTGTAACCCAATCATAAGTTTCGCTGTGAGCCTTAAGTGAAGTTAAAACTTAATACCAACCCTAAGAAAAGTGAGTCACCCCTTTGGTAACTATTCTTACCTCCAACTTCTGATAAACACTCTCTGACAAAAAATAAATAAAAATCTTGGTCAGCCTCTATCTCTTTCTCTCTTTGAGACATGCCAAAGGAAACTCCAGATGCCCTCCCCCACACAGAGGGGGCCAAGTGAGGACTCACTGCTGTCCTGAGCCAGATGATAGCTCGCCAACTGTTGGCTGTAAAGACACAATGTACTTCTCATCCTCCGCTTGGTGGAGTGGGTGGCTCAGCAGGCCCCCTAAAACAAATAACTGCTCAGATCTACAAAGCCCTCCTTTCAACAATTCCAGCAACCTCGGTTACACTTTTTAAAAGTGAGCATTAAATGATGCCGTTCTAAATGTCACATCCTCAAGTTTTCCCGCAGCCACCGTCTGAGAAAACACAAACAGAGCTCACGAGCCGATTTCCTCATTTTTAAAATAATCAGCGAAGGAGAGGATCTTGATGAGGAAGTTGT